AGGGCTCCGAGTTTGAGTTCACCGACTTCACTCTCCCCAGCCAGACGCAGACGCCCCCCGGCGGCCCCGGCGGTCCTGGGGGTGGCGGCCCGGGGGGCCCGGTCGGTGCAGGCGCAGGAGTTGCGGCCGGACAGCTCGACGCGCAGGTGAGCGGCACATGGCGGCGCCGGAAGCCGGGCCGGGCCTCGGCGCCCGGGGACCTGTCCCGGCTCCCCGACTCCGACTGGCCTTGATGTAACCTGTTCCGGGTCCCCCATTCTGGCCAGATCCGGATAACTTGTCTCAGGTCCTTCACTCTGGCTCGTCCTGGACTGACCAGTCCCGTGTTTCCCACTTCGCCGAGCCTGGAGTAACCTGTCTCGGGACCCCCACTCTGGCCAGATTCAGACTAACCTGTCCCGGTTCCCACACACCGACTGGGCGCAGGGCAAACCTCCTCCGGTCCCACTCTGGTCGAGTCTGGGTGATCTGCCTTGAGTCTCCCTAAGGTCAGGTCTGGGTCTAGCTCGGACCAGATCTTAGATGACTTGCCTAAGTCTCCTTCTGAGTATGTCCGAGGTGACCCGCCCAAGGTTCGTCTCAGGCCAGGTCAGGGGTGACCTGTCTCCAAGTTACTCTTCAGCATGGTCCTGGAGGATTTGTCCTGGTCCCGGTTCTGGCCGAGCGGGAGCCCTGCCCTACCTCCAGCCTGTGGTCGCAGTCATCCGGCACCCTCCCCTCCGCCCCATCGCACCCCCCGCCCCGAACCTCGGGGTCAAATTTCCCTAGGCCCAGGGACTCTGGGGAGCGAGGCTCCTGGAGCAGAAAGGGAATTTTTGCCTCCAGTGGAAGGAAAGAACCCCCCACTGGCTTGGCGTTTGAGATTCAAGAGGCAGGTTGCGTTTTGTTTTTCCTTCTTGCATTGCCTGTTGCTGAAACTGACCTGTTACGTAACCCCCAGCCCTGCCTTGGAAAAGTTAGGTTTGAGTTTGTTCCTCCAGAAGGCAGTGGTGGTGGATTTTACATAAATGGGTCTGCCACATCGGAAACTTGTTTTTAATGAAGTGAACGTTTAGCGAAAGCTACTTAGGTATTTTAAATTTAGGTTTGGGTTGTGAGAAGTTATCAAGTGTATACTTTTCTGACCTGGGTTCCTGCCCAGGGGGTGGGAGAAGGGGTTGGTTAAAGTCCTAGGAAACGTCACCATCATCCTCTGAATCTCAGATTCCATTCACCAGGTTTCCCTGTGCCTGGTACATCCTTCAGGTTTATTTTCCTTAATTCTTAACCAGGGGGGAGGTACAAGGCTCACCTTGCCACAGGTGTCCCATTGACGTGAGGAAACACTGTATGGACTAGGGGAGGCACCCTATCCTCTCCCAGAGTGAGCTCAGACTCTGTCTTGAGGGATGGGGGTTGTGTTCTGGTTGGGAGTCTGGTTGGGTTGAGTCACTCCTGTGGGTAGACCACCCACTTGAGATTTCTTTTAGCCCCTAATAGAAGCAAAAAACATTTGAGTCATTCTGACCCCAGATTCCTTAAAAATAGAAGCCTGATGGGTGGGGCATCAGGGAGAACAGGTGTGTAAGTGTGTATGTTTTTCAGTTTCATTTACACGTGGTGGAGGAAGGGAAGAGAGGGGAGAGTTTGCCTGGAGAGAAGAATGAGCTGCTGGAAGCATGTGTTCATACCTGTAGTCTCAGACTCTGTAGACCTCTCTGTTGTCACAGCTGTAAAATGGAGACAAAGCAGTTTTAGTTTTGTTACTTTTAAACATACATGAAATTTGGACTCATGTCTGAATGGACCAGATAGTGCTGTCTGTAACTTGTGCCCAGCGTGCCCAGAAGGCCGAGGATAAAGATCTCTTGATCAAGCAGTGTGCCACAATCTGTGGCAGCTCAGGTAATTGTTTTATTGCAAATCCTCTTTTACCTGTAGCCAGTACACAACAGCAAACCTGGGGCAGCTCTGGTTCTAGTTTTGTTCCTTGTGTTTGTGATTAATTGAGGGCGTGTCCTCTTACATACGAAGTAATCGATTTATTTTCCTGCATCTGAACACTGAGCTATACAACATAAAAGCATTAAAAGTCTCCATTGGAGGTAAATATTGCAATTGAGTTCACTTGAGCTCTGATGATATCAGTCTGTTCTTCCTTTTAGTTAATCCTGATGACCCACCCACCTGTAGCCTAACTTTGGATTTGTATTTGGGGAAGAGGCGAGTAATATTCTTTGTGTCACAAGAGGAAGCCCTGAATTTGGGTGTTGGAAAGTGGAAAAAAGTTGATTATCTCCAATCAGTGGCATTGACAACCGCCACAGCATTTGGGAAGATTTTCCTTGTTTGTCTTCAGACTTGGCTGTGTAACCCAGCGGTCCCCAACTCTTGGTATTAGGGATGGATGCTCCTATGAAAATCTAATACCTAATGATCTAAGGTGAAGCTGAGGCCGTGATACTAGCCCTGGGGAGCTGCTGCAAATACAGATGAAGCTTCGCTCACTAGCCTGCTGCTCACTTCCTGCTGTGTGGCCTGGTTCCTAACTGGCCACGGACTGGTATTGGTCCACGGACCAGGAGTTGGTAACCCTGGTAATTAGCTGTATGGGGGGGCTTCCAGAGAGATTAAAAAAAATTTCCCATTCTGAATGCCTTTTGTTTTGATCTTGTTGGATGAGTGGTTGTAAAGTGTCAAGTGCTGTACAGCCAGTTTTGTTTCCCAGATTTATTGGGATAGAATTTACATACCATACAATTTGTCCATTTAGAGTGTACAATTCAGTGGCTTTTAGTACATTCAGAGTTGTGCAACCAGCCACAACCATAATCATAGGACATTTTTATCACCCTAATAATAGGACATTTTTATCACCCTAAAAAGAAACCCTAAACCCCTTAGCCTGTCAGTCCTCCCTCCTCCAACTCCAGGCAACCACTAATCTTATTATCTCTGGATTTACGTACTCTGGACATTTCATATAATGGAATCATGTGGTATGTAGCCTTTTGTATCTGGCTTCCTTCAGGGAGCATGTTTTCAAGGTTCATCCACATTATAACATGTAACTACTCCATTCTTTTTAATGACTGCGTAATATTCCGCAGTATGGACAGACCACATTTTGTTTATCCACACGTCTTTTGGTGGACATTTAGGTTGCTTCCACTTTTACCTGTTATGAATAGTGCTGCTCTGAACATTCGTGTACAAGTTTCATTGTATATGTATGTCTGCTGGTCGTGTGGTAACTGCGTAACCTTTCCAGGAGTTGCCAGACTATTTTTCAGCATGCGGCCACTTTGGATATCATCAGTCCTGACTGCTGGTTTTGCACAGTTGGTTTTACCTGAAAATATGTTTAGAAACAGAATATATATCCCAACAAGGGAGAGAACAGCAGGCAGGGGTGGTTCTTGCTGATCTCTTGAGTTGGTTCAAATAACACTCTGTTTCTTGTTTGTAAAATAAAACTTATATTTATCAAATTCTTCAAGATCCTGGGATGAAAAGTGCTGACAGTCCTGTCAAGTGTCCTTAAGATAGAAGGACAGTTTTCTTTTAAGCATCTGACCCTTTCCTAGGCCCTTTTTGACCCTGAGCCTCAGAGTGCTGGGAAAGGTAATTTCAGAAGTCCTTTGCATAATAGTTGGTGTTACAACCCTTCTGGTCTGTCTAGTTGGAATATTTCCTCTTGACTTTTGCTACAATCATGTTTCCTCAAAACACTGGAATTACGGTGAAAATCTTAAGAGTTGGGAATACCACCCAGGCATAAAAGGGAATGAACTGTTGATATATGCAAAAATGTGGCTGCATCTCAGAATAATTACACTGAGTGAAAGAATCACTTATAAATGCTCCTTGACTTATGATAGGATTATGTCCCGATTAAACCTGTTGTAAGTTGAAAATATCTTGTCAAAAATGCATGTAATACACCTAATCTATTGAATGTCATAGTTTACCCTAGCCTACCTTAAACGTGCTCAGAACACTTACATTAGCTTGCAGTTGGGCAAAATCATCTCAGTGCCGCTGCCCAGCATCACAAGAGTATCATACCCACATACTGCTAGCCCAGGAAAATATCAAACTTCAAAGTATGGGTTCTACTGAATGCATATCGCTTTCACACCATCATAAAGTTGAAAAGTTGTAAATCGGGGACTGATTCCGTTTCTTTAAAGCTCTAGGAACTGCTAGTTAAATTACAGTAATAGAAAGCAGATCCGTGCTGGGGGGAAGGGAGGAAAAAATGGAAAGAGAGATGACAAAGGGCACCAGGGGACTTGGTTGGGGGTGATGGATGTGTTCATTGGATTATGGAGATAACATTGACCACTTGAGTAGCTCCATTTTTTAAAAAGGCTGGAAATGCCACTTTGAACTTTCTTACCTTGGTGGTGGAACAGTCACCCAGAGTTCTGTGGTCCAGCAGAGAAACAAGGCAGTTACCCAAATGTGGGGCTGCTCTGAGTGTTAACAGCAACTTTGTTCACGAGAGCCCCAGACTGGAAACAGCCCGATGACCCTCAACAGGCCACCGATACACAAAGGCTCTTCCTCAGTTGTAATCCTGTGTACACAAACTTAGGCTTTTTCCTTTTCAAGTGGTAAGGTACTTGGATAAAGAGTTGTTACCTAGTCTTCAAAACCATACTCCTACCGCCATCAGAATTCATGGAAGACTGTCCTCACATATCCTTGACCATCAGAGAAACAAATCCTCTTCTGCTTCCTATCTGTAGCTTATGATGAAGAGGAGTGTTTGATATAGTCCAGGGGTTCCTAAAAGTGGTGAGTTTGAAATTTGAGTCAGACTTTTTTCATCTGGTTTTGTGATTATGCAGTTCAGCTCTGATATAAGCACATCTTGAGAAAATCAGAGATAAGCTGGTAACTATGCAGGAGCTCTAGCAAGTGTTGGTCCAGCACTTTTTCCCTTATTGGATTTCTCAGGTTTATTTCCAAATGGTGAGGACTCTACCAGCATTTAGGACAAAGGGAGGGCTTACATGTCGTTTAATGGTGAGTAAGGGAAATGACTTCTCAATTCTATCCATTTCTTCACTGGGATTCAGCAAGATTGGGGAGAAAATTAACACCAGTACAATACCAGTGTTAATGAAAAACCAGAGTTCTCTCTCAGTCTAGTTCCCACAAATCAAAAAGACATGTTTCTAGTAGCTTCATTGAGTTGTGATCACATACCGTAGAGCCTTCTTGTTTATAAGTGTTCAAGTCAGTGTTTTTCTTGTAAATTTACAGGGCTGTTTGACCATTACCATAGTCACTTGCTGCCTTCGATTTCTCCTTCACACTGCTTTTTCTTTCCTCCTTTTTTTCTCTTGCTAATCTTTGAAGTCTTTTGTCAACAACTGTAACATAGGGGAATTAGGTGACCCAGGCTCAACGACTCCTGGTCACACACTGGGGAGATGTGCCGCCCCATGCGCTGGGCCTTTCACTGGGGTTCAGAGGCAGGAGCTGAGGCCTGGGAGCCCTCACAGGTCTGTCTTTACTTCTGTCCCCTCTGTGCAGGCGGTCAGGCCAGCCTCTTCAGCCTGGTCCCTGACTCCCGCCTTCTCAGCAGTTCTGCTTGCTGTGCTCTGGGAAGCTGTGGGGTCAGAGTGAGTCCTTTGCCAACTGCAGCTGCTTTGTTAGAAATGATAGGTGCTGCCCAGACTGTGGTTGGCCTTAGGGATGGTGAGAGCTCAAAAGAAAGAGTCGTTTGCCCTGCAAAGGGAGAGCCTTTGTGAGTGGTAGTCCTTGAGTTGTCAGGAAGGTGCGCCCACTGGGTGGAGGGGTGGGCACGGGGTACAGCATAGGGCTTGGCATGGAGAGTGGGTATAGACTATAGCCGGTGTGCCAATCTGATGGGTCTATGCTGGATCTTGGAGCCTTGCAGAGCTACTGAGGAGCGCTGTGACCTCACTTGAGAGGAAGGGCTCTTATATGGCAGGAGACTCAGCAGGTGTGGCAATGGCTAGAAGGGAAACTTAGGAAGAGGGTGCTGTGGTTGGATGTCTGCCTGTGTGCACACAAGTGAATGTGCGTATTATTATGGTACAAAGGCAGTCTTGGAGGCCACTTCTCCTTCCAGGGCATGTGCTCATCCTGCATTCTGTTGCCATAGAGTCCTCACAAGGAGTTGTCTGGAGCAGACACAAGTTCCTATCTGGTTTTTATCAGGGCCCAAGATCCCCCCGACTGAGGCAGGACTCCCCTTGTATGGAGGAGGCATGAGTTGGGGTAGTTCTGCTCAGCAGACCCTTTGGAGGTGCTGCGTTGAGAGGGGCAAGAGGCCTTGGGAGAGGCCCCCACCAAACTGACATGCATGGAGATTGGAAGAGGCAGATTCTGGGCAGTTGTGATAGTCACTGTGGCGGGGTGGTCTTGCGGTGATACAGGAAAGTCCAGCCCGTAGAGGACCATGACACCCAGCTGTGTTCAGTGGGACCCATAGCAGAGTGTGGTTTGGAAGGTGCAGAGGGGTCAGCGAGGGCAGATTCTTTTTATCCAGAACCCATTGTTTGTTAGGTGGCACCATGCGATGTTGCCGCCTTCATAAGTCAAACATTGGTTAAAACTAATACATTAGAGGAGGCTAAAGAGACATCAAAAATGTATGATCATTCGCTGGACCTTGAATTTAAACAACCATAAAGGACATTATTAGGACACTCGGGAAAGGTGCCTGTGGGTATTAGATAGCAGTATTGTATCAGTATTGCTCTTGAGCATGAGGCCTGTACAGGCACACCTTGGAGGCACTGCGGGTGGGGTTCCAATCCACTGCAATGAAGCACGTCACGTGAATGTTTTGGTTTTCCAGTGTGTATAAAAGTTGTGTTTACAGTATACTATAGTCTTAAATAAGTGTGCAAAATCATTATGTCTAAAAAGACAATGCACATATCTTAATTTAAAAATACTTTATTGCTATAAAATGCTAACCATTATTGGAGCTTTCAACCAATTGTAATTTTTTGCTCTTGGGAGTCTTGCTTTCAATTTGTAGAAAATGCAGTATTTGTGAAAAACAATAAAACAAGGTATGCCTGTATTGTGGTTGTGGGGAGAAAGCCCTTGTTCTGGAACCCATCACTCTGAAATGGATCAGGAAAATAAAAAGTGTGTGCAGAGGAAGAGGGAGAGAGCAGGCATGGTGAAATGTGAGTGATTGGTGGATCTAGATGCTGAGGGTTTCTTTATGTAGGTTTGAAACTTTTCCAAAAGTTGGGGGAGGCTGGACCTTCTCTTAGCCTTTTCCTGAGGCAGGGCTCAGAGGCCCTGCAGCTCTTTCTGCCTCTGGCCATCCCTGAGGGAAAGGCCATTTCTCACTCTTTTTTATATTTAAACCTTGGGGATAAAAGAATAAAGAGTCCCTTTACAGCTTTTGTGTTTTGGATGAGAAGATGTGTTCTTTTAACCAATAATATGAGGGCCTCTTGGGGTGTGGGCTCAGTTCTAGGTGCTGGAGTCATAGCAGGGAGCAGGACAGGCATAGTGGCCCCACTGGGGCCCCTCAGATGAAAGCAGGGGTGGCCTCCCTGGGCGGTGGTGCCCTGTGGACCAAGACCTGTAGAACCAGGAGCCTGCTTTCCAGACGCCAAGGGACAGTGAGTGCTAAGATCTATTTCATGCTGAGTAGTATGACAATATGGAGTCTGAAGTAAAAGTCTGTGATCAAAAATTCTTTCCAGCACATTGAGGGGTAGTTTTTGAGCTTATGCTTTTCCTCTGTGAGAGTGAAGTGACCTCTTTTCTTATTGCTCTGATGTGCGCTGTCGGGAGTTCTGTAGTGGGTTGTACGGAACTGTCTCTGGGCAGAAAACCCCTACAGGCCTTGATCAGCTCAGCAACTCATAGATGGACTTCAGATACTGAGTATCCAGAGCACAGGTGGAGAGGGAACTTGTTTCCCCAGTGACATGGTGCCTGAGGAGGGGCTTGGAATACTGGTGGGTGCAGGGAGGCCCTGTACCTCTTGAGCCCAGCAGTACCCAGAGGTCCTGGCTGGGGGTGAGAGGTTGATGACCTTGGAATACCTTAGTCTTATACTGGCCGAAGATGAGGACACCCTAGACTCCTGTCATGTCACTTGACATAGGCTGTGAGTCCTCTCTGTGCCAAATACTTTCTAGTGCTTTAACTCATGTAATTATAGTTTCTAAAGTCACATGTATTTTTTAAATTAATGTTATCTTAAAACTTAACAGAAAGTAGAGGGAGAAACTACCAATCCAGCTATAGAGGTCAGTTTGTGTTGTGGCCAGATCACAGCTGGGCAGGAGTGAGGCCAAATGGGAGCTGGGAGCACGTGCATTTGTATGTGTGTGCACAAGTGAGAGGGGGCCACACTATACTCCCCTGTGGGGCAGCTGCAGGGTCACTGGGCCTAGAGGATTTTGGACTTCTCTCTCCAGCCTCCCTGGCTTTAGTGGGGGTGAAGAGAGTCCACCCCATCCTGGATCCATATTCTGTTATCTCCCAGGCGTTCCAAGAGTGGACTTAGATTTCCTGTCCCTTATTAAGCCTGGAGGGATCAGTATAGTTTAGACAGCGTCACCACAAGGCTGCTCAGGCTCCCAACGATGAGGGGAGGTGAGGTGTTAGGCAGAATTGGGTAGGATGAGACCACCCAGGTGTTGTATACTTTTTTATTCTACGTACTAATTTTGATGTTTCAGGAGAATAATGATTCTGATATTGGACTTGGTTCCATAGTGTAGCGGTTAGCACGTCTGCTTGACATGCAGAAAGTCCTGGGTTCGTGCCCCAGTGGAGCCATGGTCTATGGTCTACGGCCATGCCACTCTGAACAAGCCCGATATCTGATCTTGGAAGCTAAGCAGGGTCAGGCCTGGTTAGTGCTTGGGTGGGAGACCACCTATGAAGACTAGGTGCTGTAGGCATAAATAATTAAAAAATTAAAAAAAAAAAAAGATTCTGTTATCACCAAGAATATTTTCTTTATATGTAAAAATTATGCAACCTGGTAGATTGTACAGTTTTAGGAGTTCTTCTAGACTAGGAGTCAGAAAATGTTTTCTTGAAGGACTAGATAGTAAATATTCTAGACTTCGAAGAAGAAGAAGCAAAATTGAGGATATTAGTAGTTATTTAATCCAGTCATTAAAAAATGTAAATACTCTTCTGAGCCCAAGAGGTAGCCCACAAGCTGATCCCATGCTAGACCACCTTCTCAGCCCTCTCCTATAGCATGATATATATGCCCCCTCACTGCCATGAAGTGAAATTCAGATGCCATAACCTGGCTACACACTTTCAGAAAGCCAACCAACATGTGTTCCTAGGTACAGTCACACCAAGAGATACTGAGCCAGCAGTGCCGGCCCGGTTGGCAGCCTCACACCAGTGTTACCACTGCATTTGTCAGAAGAAACATTGCCAGATGAAGAGGTGACTCTTTGAAGTGATAACCAGATTCAAAATTTCAAACAAAGCACAAGTCACTATTAAAATTTTTTAACAGCCAAGTTAAAAATGGGCAAAGGACTTGAATAGACATTGCTCCAAGCAGGATATACAAATGACCAACAAGCACATGAAAAGATGTTCATTATCATGGAAATTAAAATCAAAACCACAGTGAGATTAAAAAAAAAAAACACCCCACAGTGAGATACTACCTCACATCCTTTGGGATGGCTGTTTAAAAAGAAAAAAAGATTACAACAGGTGTTGATGAAGAACCATTGTTGGTGAGAATGTAAAATGGTGCACCTACTGAGGAAAACAGTCTGGTGATTCCTCAAAAAGTTAAACAAAATGACCATATGACCCAGCAACTCCACTTCTGGGTATATATCCAAAAGAAATGAAAGCAGGGCCTCTTAAAAGATATTTGTATGTGTATTTGTGTTCATAGCAAGATAATTCATAGCAGCCAAAAGGTGGAAGCAACCCAAGTGTCTGCTGACAACATGGCTAGATAAACAAAATGTCATAAATCTATGCAGTGGAATATTATTCAGCCTTAAAAAGGAAGAAAATCCTGACAAATGCTACAGCATGGATGAACCTCGAAGGTGTTATGCTAAGTGAAATAAGCCAGACAAAAGGACAAATACTGTGTGATTCCACTTACGTGAGGTTTTGTGGAGTTCTCATGATGGATGGTGGTTATGGTTGCGCACTGGTGTGAATGTACTTAATGCCCCCTAACTGTTCACCTAAAAATGGTTAAGATGGTACATTTTATATGAATTTTACTAAATTTTTTTTAAAAAAGAGATCAGGAATTCACCAAGAGGTGCTTGTGGTGATGTTATAGCACACTGTCTATGCATTGAAATCCAAAAGTTGATTTTGATTTTTACTTTTTGAAAAGAAACTTTTCAAACAAAGCATACATTTTTCTTGTAATTAATCTGGTGGTTGCCTTCCTGTAAAAAGCATATTAATGTGGTGGCAGACACTGTGAAGTGAGTGGGTTCTGATCTGGGCTGAGACCATTACAGACATAAGTGTTCTGTGACAAAATGCTTACTTCCTGACACTGCAAAGGTACCTTTGCAATATCCAGGATCCCCACCTCATGAGAACCACTGTCCTTAGGTTTATACAAGTGACCTGGCTGGAGCAGTGGATAGGGAAAGTCCCTGTGAGCACTGCTGGCTCAGGCTGCACTGGCCTGAGTGGGCTACTCATGGCATGGCTCTGGTTTTTGGTCTCCCGGCTCTAAGTGGCAGGGTCTGTGCAAGGGAGTGGGGCCAGTGTCTGCCTTGGAGCTCCCATCACTGCTCCTGTGCCTCATCACCACAGGATGCTCCTGCTGCCTGATCCAGCCTTGTGTGGGCTGTGGCCCATGGCAAGAGATGACAAACTATTGACTGCTATCTGAGATTCCTGGGGGTTGGCATTAGGATGCTTGTTCCTCTCAGGTGAGCCGAGTCTCCATGCGCTCCTTGAATGGATGTTTAGCTCAGCAGAAGTGCCTGTGAAATTCGTGGCTTAGATACTTAAAGTTGCCTGTTTGTGTTTTTTGCTCTTGTAACATAAAAGGTAATATATTTAGTAAGATTTTTGCCTGAATTCAGAAGGTTATCCTAACATTCAATTTATAATTCATGATCAAGAAAGGCTGCTTTTTGGAGAGGGGACTGGCTGTGGAGGAAGTCTGTCGAATGAGGAAGGAACTGCTCTTCGACATCTCCAGGAGTCGCGACCTTGGCTTCCAGTGCTTAGGCTTTGGGAAGACCGTTCACTGTGTGGGATTCCAGGCCTTTCAGCCTGATATTGTGCAACTTTCCCCAGAGGAGACCTTAACTGGTTTGTAAAAAGTCATCTTGCTCCTATGGCCCTCAGTGATGAGAAGCGTTTTCCTCTGAATCCTGGTTGTGGTTGTGGCTCTGGGGCAGACAGGGTTGAGTCTGGCTGCACAGGAGCCAGGGTGGATGACTGGGGCCACAAGGGCCCTGTTTTGGACTGGGTAGGTTTGATAGGTATAGAGAGAGTGTGAACAGTCAAAGCAGAAGACACAACTGTCTCAAAGCAGAAGCAGGCCAGTGCTTCATAGGAGGGTCACCGTGGCTGCTCACTTGGGGAGAAGCCATGTGTCCTAGGCCTGGAGGCAGCAGGCTTGCATGATGAAACTGCTATTCTGCGGTAGGTCGGAGGACCTGAAGGCATCCTGCAGAATGGGGCCGTGGATGACAGTGTGGCCAAGACCAGCCAGTTGTTGGCCGAATTGAACTTCGAAGAAGATGAAGAGGATACTTATTACACAAAGGACCTCCCAGTACATGCCTGCAGGTGAGCGCTGACAGTGGGGGCGTCCCAGAGCCTCTGTATTTTGAGTATGTCTGCTGGCTTCACAGAGGCCACTCCAAAATCAAAGACTGGGCAGGAGGGTGAGCTCATCACCCTCTGTCATCTCTGATTCTCCCAGTGGGTGGGGGAAAGGTTCCCCTCTCTGCCATCCTTAGGCCCTGTGGGTGTTCCCAGTACCTGCCCCACTCACTCACCAGAAAGAACTCATAACATTGGATGAGCATTTGGGTTTATGGAGTAAATAAATCAGCTAAGATTTCTCTTTCAGAGAGATTACTGTTGGATTCTTTAAAATGTCTGCCTCTGATGTATTCAAGATTCCTGAAAAATTGGAATTGAATAGTCAGTGGGTAGACTTGAATGTTGACCAAATTTGGAATTATCATCTAGAGCAGGACCTATCTTTTCCATTTGGACTTATTCTGGCTTTTTTGTTACACGCACATGAGGAAATTGAGACCAAAAGCGGTGAAATGATCTTGCTTAGGGTATTCGGCCAGTCAGGGCAGCTTTTGGCCTGGGTCTCAAATCAGCCCTACCCGCCTCTCTGGCACTGAAGGATACAGTGCAACCCTTTTCCTGCTTTATGGACAGATTTATACTATTTTGGCTTTGTTCGCGCTCATTTACAAGTATTTTTGCATATGTATAGTGATGTATTAGTGTGTTCCTGTCATATACACAGTTATCCTTGGTCCTGGTGAAGCTGCAGCTGGTTGAAGTCTGCACAACCCCTGGCCCTCCCTGCTGTCCCCACGTGTGGGGTGTTGTGGGGAAGGTTCTTGGCTAAAGCACACTCTGGTTTGAGACTGAGCCTTGGCTTCATACACATACAGAACTCTGTGGGGAGCCAATGCTTTTGTTTTTGGTGTGTTGATTTTCAGACAAACGAGGCCAAGGAGTATGTGGGGGGAGGTGCGGGGGGGCTCTCCTGAGGTACTCCTTTTGAGCTGAGGTCAGTCCACGCTCCAAACCCTCTGCTGCTAGGTCTGAGCCAATCTTTTCTCAGAGAATGGTGCCCTCTGCTGGAGCATGAATACAGCGTTGTCACAGCCCACCTTCCATGTGCTAAGTCATGTACCTGAAACATAAGGCCATGTGATACAACACCTTGGGGGTTTTGGGCTCACCTGGCACCTCGAATGGCACTCGCCCCCCGCTACCCCCCCACACCCACTAGGGGCTTTGCTGCTGTTACTGGAGCATCTCCAAGGGTTTCTTCAGCACTCATCCCCTTCCTGCATTCACAAGGCCAGGAACCCTATGCAGTTAAATGATTGAATGTTGTTAGTAGGATCATTGGGTCTGAGTATGTGTTTAATGAAAAACTTAAAAATGTTGTAAGAGGAAAGAATTTTACATTCTGCTAAATTAAAACCAGAGAGCAACCTTTCAGCTTTAACTGTTATTGTTTTGACTTTTTTAGTTACTGTGGAATACACGATCCTGCTTGCGTGGTTTACTGTAATACCAGCAAGAAGTGGTTCTGTAACGGACGTGGAAATACTTCTGGCAGGTAGGTATCAGGCTGAGCATGTGTCTTTAATCAGGCTGTGCTCAGATTTGTGTGTGTAAATTATGGAAATACTGAAGCAAAGCACAACATAAAATCGCACTAACAAACCTGGGTTTTTCCCTCCTCTGTGACGGGTTTAACTTGAAACAGATGGTAGTGTGTGAATGCCTTAATGTATTTACCCTTGATTTATTCTCTGGTTCTTTTTATTATGCAAGTAGAGTTGGCTTAATTCTCATTCCCAGTTTTTATTTATATTTTTCTGCAAAATGAGCTCTTGGCATGCCCGTTCATCTTCATTATAGGGTGCCCGGTGAGTATGTTTACAAGATGGTAACGGGCATCCATGAGCTACTTCCTGAGAAGGCTCCCTTAGGCCTGAGCTCATCTGAGTAGTCCTGAGGCTAACGGGCCAGATCCTGAATTGTCAGATTAAATCAAGTTGACCCAAGAGCAGGGTTCCCTCCTGCTGCTGATCAGCAGCATCTGTGACTGGGCCCATGCTTATGTTTGGTGAGAGCAGCGTGGTGCTGGTGCTTAGATTCTGGGGAGAGTTGACCTGTCTAGCTTGAGCACTGGAACTACTCATCCCCTGCTTCTGTCTCCATTGCCACAGGAAGTAGAGCAGAGTCTCAGTGGGACAGGGCTTCAGGTCATCAGCAAGGAAGTGGAATCTTCTGAAGTTCATGTTTTGGAGAAGTGACAAAAGTCCATAAGCAGGTTTATGTGCACAGAGCCCCCACCCTTCCTGTGCCTTCAGCAGTCTAGGGCTGGGCCTCACCATTGTGCCGCCTGGGAACACAATGGTTAGATTTCGGGTCATCTGAGAGTTGGGATGTGAAATGTGGAGTTCTGAGAAAGGCCAGAAATGGGGCTGATGTTTTTGAAAGACTTCAAAGGAAAAGCATCTTCAGGGTTACCAAAAAGAGATATGCGTCTCCTTTTCTGAATGTTCTGGGCAATTTAAGTGTTACCATGTTTGCATTAGCTCCTCTCCTATAGGAAAAGCAGTTAAATAAAACTTGTCTTAGTTGGCAACTCCAGCTTCCGGTCAGCAGAGCCAAGATCGGGGAAGTGAGGGAAGGGCCTCTAACAGAAAACAGGCTCAGTCAACCATTGTTGCATGTTCTACACAAGGCCCAAGTGAAAGATGATAGGCAGCCCATTGCCTTCAGAGAGCTGCCAGTGTAGTGGGATGAGGTAGGCACAGAAAGAACAAGAGGAAACTGCTAGTTCTGGTAATATGCCTAGTGATGGTGGCTCTAGAGAGGAGTGGGAGACTGAGGAGTGCCGAGAGTGGCAGTGGTTGGTTAGATGGTCTGATGAGTTTTGCGGAGCCAGAGAGGGTTAGAACATTGGTGTCTTAGCCGAACCTTGCAACAGAAGCGATTTCAGAGGGGAAGAGAGGGTGGCAGCAAGGAGTGTCCAACAAACCCACAGCCAGACTACAGAGAGCCCGAGGCAGGGCCTGCACTGCACATGGGCCCCAGCAAGGCTGGCTTGGCATAAGGAGGTCCTGGTTTAGGTGAGCTGTGACCTGAAAATGAGAACAACAGTAGAGCCCTGACCACGCCGAGATGTCGAGGTTTCAGAGGGTTCAATGTCGGCCTTGTGCTTCCTGAGAGTAACCCTGAGCCCCACTACTCAGTTTTTTATTGTCCTCATGTTTCTAATACATGTGCTTATCAAGTTTCCTGGCCTGCAGCAAATTAGGAGGAGCAGTTGCTCCTGGCAGCCAGCACAGGGTCCTTGAGAAGTTACTTTGAAAGAAGCAACAGAGAAGCCACAAGGAGTGAGAGGAGCTGGGAAAAGGGCAGCGGCCGGGGCTGCAGCCATAGATCCAGTGAAGCCTGATAAGTTGTATTTAAGAAAGCAAGAACTGAAAGAAGAAGAAAAAAGGCAGAAACCATGTGAAACATGTTAGGAAAGTTTTTCTTAAAAATGTTTCAAGTTGGGTTGATTTTTGCGCTCAGTGGGGAGCCAGTTCTGGGGCAGGCTGGTCCCCTGGGATGCCAGATGGATGAGGTGTGACCGCCCCTGCTAATGGACCGTGAACGGTACCGGAACTTTTAATGGGGGGCTCAAGAATTGGAAGTGGTGAAAAGCCAAACCTCGGGTGTTAACTATTTATCATTTCCTGGTTTCAGCCACATTGTAAATCACCTTGTGAGGGCAAAATGCAAAGAGGTGACTTTGCACAAAGATGGGCCCCTGGGGGAGACGGTCCTGGAGTGTTACAATTGTGGCTGCCGCAACGTCTTCCTCCTTGGCTTCATCCCTGCTAAGGCTGACTCGGTGGTAGTGCTGCTGTGCAGGTGAGGGTGCCTTGATTTCCCCGGCGGGCTAGCTCTGACTCAGTGGAACTTTAACATGCTTTAAAAGAGTTTCTGCTGACCAGCAAGGTGTGAGGACGTTTGGGGATTAGGGCTTGTTGGAGAGCTGGGAATGTCAAGTAACTCTTGGGGTGTGTTCTCGTTAAATCATAAAAACAATTCTGTAAAACCAAAGTCTGTTCTGAGTTTTAAGAATTCAGAGCTCAAATGTGTGGGAGATGTGATTTATTACTAACAATGCAAAGGTAACGTGATCACAAATGCAGGGACCGGCGCCTCAGGGTGAAAGGTAAGCTTTGGGGCAGAGGTCATCCTCATCTGAATGCTCTTGCTCTCGGGGCTTCTTACAGGCAGCCTTGTGCCAGTCAGAGCAGCCTCAAGGACATCAACTGGGACAGCTCGCAATGGCAGCCCCTGATCCAGGACCGCTGCTTCCTGTCTTGGCTGGTCAAGATCCCTTCAGAGCAGGAGCAGCTGCGGGCTCGGCAAATAACCGCTCAGCAGATCAACAAACTAGAGGAATTGTGGAAGGTGAGGCCTGCTGAGAATGCAAATCCTCAACAACCAGTTTCCTGTAGACCCCAGGGGTGGGGAGGGCTGGTGTCTTCAGAAATAGGAGATTCCGGGAAGGAACTCCTGGGAGGCTCTGTAGCCTCTGCCTGGAGGGGCCCTGATGGGAACTGGCCCTGGACAGCTGTGGGTGGATGTGGAGACAGGGCCTGAGTAGACAGAACTGTGAGTGCACTTAGACAACTCATTGGGTCTGTGTTGTGTCTGACCTTAGGCGACACCAGGCTGGGGGGTGAGCATTCAGTGGGAAAGGGGTTGGAGTCCTAAAGGTCAGAGACTCTCAGCCCAGAGCAGCCAGATGACTGAAGGGAAGAGTGACTCCCCTGGGCAGGTGGTAGGGGGTTACCCTGCCTGCAGACCCAGTTCTCCTGGGAAGCCCTTCTTTGGTTCTGGCTGTTTAGACTTTAAAGTTTTAATAATGAAACTGGAAATTTTAATTAGACACCGATATAACCAGAAATCTTAAATGTGAATTTTGAATGCAAGTCAAAATGTTTTTCAGGCATCATGTAGCAAGGAGCCTTTCCACTTCCATCTTCAGGTTGCCACAATTATTTCATCATTTCTGTTTATATCCAAACAGCCCAGATACTGTTCTGTCCCTGCCAGGGAAAAGTACACCACCCTGTTGGTGCAGTGTAGGATCAGGAGGAAATGGGGAGATGGGCCTCCCCTTCTGTTCATACAGCCAGAGGAACGAGGAACCAGTGGTCTTTCTAGTGGTCTGGAAAGTGCCGGCCCTCCCAGTTCAGGGCCAAGCAATTGTGGAGGACATAGCCATTTGATGGTGTAGGTGGGTCCTCTGTGTATTTGGGGTGTCATCACTAAGATTCACCCTGTTGGTATAACCCTATTGGGAGTGTTAGGAGCAGCAGTTGAGGTGCGAGGAGACAGACATCCAGCTCCCTGTGCCGTGTGGACTTCTCCACATGGGGGCTCTCCCACAGGGTGGACACTAGTGGCTGCCAACTCCTTTTGGAGAAAATTATATGCTATAAGGCTGCATTTCCCAGAATACAGTCTAGAGAGCATTTGTTAATAAGTGTTATATGACAGTTTAAAAAAAAATAGCTTGAAGTAATGCTGGGTTAAGCAGAGTTAAAGATATCTGTTCTACAGGGTTCCACCATGTTTGAGCCGTGTGACCTCGAGCTAGTTTAACCGCTCGTGTGCATCAGCCCAACATCAGCTCCAAGAAATGATGAGTGTGCTCCCATCCCTCTAGTGACCCATGGGCTCAAATATAATTCATACACAAGTGAAACAAGTGATGAACCTGGTGTGGTCTTTATCTTCTAGGAGAATCCTTCTGCCACCTTGGAGGACCTAGAGAAGCCGGGGGTGGATGAGGAGCCGCAGCATGTCCTCTTGCGGTATGAGGATGCCTACCAGTACCAGAACATATTCGGGCCTCTGGTCAAGCTGGAGGCCGATTATGACAAGAAGCTCAAAGAGTCCCAGGTGATGTGGTGTGTGCAGGAGGGTATGGTCGTTTTAACACATCTCTCCTGAGGTCTGGGAGGGCGGCTTTCCCTGCAGGCTGCGATGCTGTTCAAGGCCCAGCGCCTAGAGAGAACGAGCCATGGATCGAGGACAAATGCCCTGTCACTCAGCTAGACACTGGCCTGAGTGTTTGCTAATTCTAAATCCAACAAAAGTCCCTTGCAGTTGGGTTTGCAGCCTTTGCCCGCAGCCACAAGCTTCAGACCCAAGGATCGAAGGCACGCAGTGGGCACTCCTTGTGCTGGTCCCACGAAGAATGTGCTTAAGAAGTGAGAGTCCAGGGCTCGTGGGCCATTTCCTCAGCTGTCAGCTTCCTTCTCTCCCTCCAAGGACCTCTGAGAGCCGACATCGATTGCGGGATCCTGGCCTGGTCGTCTGTGTGGGTTCTGGTGGTCCTAATGGCTTCTCTCCCAGAGGTGCCCTTGTTGGTGTTTCAGGCTGTTGAGTGCTGCTCACTGCACCCCAACATCATGGCTCATGAAGTTGCTGTAGGCCTGTGGAAACCCAAACACATGAGTTCAGACAATGTCTGTGTCATAGGCTAACAGGGCTCTTATTTTTCATGTGCTCAGACTCAAGATAACATCACAGTCAGGTGGGACCTGGGCCTTAACAAGAAGAGAATCGCCTACTTCACTTTGCCCAAGACTGACTCTGGTAATGAGGATTTAGTCATAATTTGGTTAAGAGGTGATTTTAAGTTTTAAAATATTTGTGACCATAAGTAGCATAAAATTCCTAGTTTTGCCCCTGTAAAGTGTCCCTTAATTTGAACTCTTCATGGTGGCAGCTTTAGAGCATGTTGAAAATGCTGGCTTTCTTGTCTTTTCCCTGGAAGATATGCGGCTCATGCAGGGTGATGAGATATGCCTGCGATACAAAGGGGACCTAGCACCCCTGTGGAAAGGGATCGGCCATGTCATCAAGGTCCCTGATAGTATCCTTTGTGTGAAGAAGGGCTTGCAAAGGAGACCTGCGTGGGGGTCACCATGAAGATTGGTCCTGGGACCTTGGGTGGAGGGTTTGTCCACGGCTGGAGGGGCCTCTTTGAGTCGTGTTTATTTCAAAGCACTGAGCCCTTTCTTCAGGCGGGCTCTTGAGTGCACACCATTTATGTAAAACGGATAGAAGCACTATTTTGCCTGGAACTAGGGTACTTTGAGCTCTGCACCTCAGGGCTCTCAGAAGCTCACAGTTGGAACCCGGCCTCTGGATGTGGGTGCTCCATCCTGGCATCCAGGGCGATGCCTCAGGGCTTACGGGGTAATTGGGGGTAAGGGGCTGGCTGCAGGGGATCCAGACATCATGAGCAAAATTGTTGGTGAGTACATAGGTCTCACTTGCTGTGTCGTCACCTTTGGGTACAAAGGGAGGATTATGTCTCTAACCAAATGAGGACTTCTAAGAAAGGTAAACCAGCTTGTGACAAGGATGAGCCTTAACTCAGCGGCACAGATTACGGTGATGAGATTGCCATTGAGCTGCGGAGCAGTGTGGGTGCACCTGTGGAGGTGACGCATAACTTCCAGGTGGACTTTGTGTGGAAATCCACCTCGTTTGACAGGTGCGTCTGCCTTCGTCTCCAGCTCTAGATGATTCTCTTGTCCCAGGGGCAGGGCTTCCCACCAGTCCACCTGAACATGTGGCTGACCTGGCGCTTCCCCACAGGATGCAGAGTGCACTGAAGACCTTTGCTGTGGATGAGACCTCCGTGTCAGGTTATATCTACCACAAGCTACTCGGCCACGAAGTGGAGGACGTGATCATCAAGTGCCAGCTACCCAAGCGCTTCACAGCACAGGGGCTCCCTGACCTCAACCACTCTCAGGTTCTCACTGTCTAAGGGGTGGGAGGTACCTGGCCCACAGAGGTGCTGGGTGAGGGCTCCCGGGGCATCTGTACCCCTAACAGTCACTTGTATCTCAAGGTTTATGCTGTAAAGACTGTGCTGCAGAGACCTCTAAGCCTGATCCAGGGACCACCAGGCACGGGGAAGACAGTAACCTCAGCCACCATCGTCTACCATCTGGCACGGCAGGGCAATGGGTAGGGGTTAGCAGGCCTATCTTTGGGATGTCTTGGGGGCGATCTATTAGCTCGCTGCATTTTATATTGTAATAGATCCGGCCTCTCTGGTTGCTTTTAACAAGCTAGTATGCTGCTCTCCAAGGCAGCACATGTCAGTGACTTCTGGGTGGTGCTGTGCTGTGTACACTTTGGAGCTTGGAAAGTCTTCACTATGCTTACAGAGGTGATGATGTGGGTGTATAATTAGCGGTGCTTTGCACAAGTAAAGTGAAAACTGGGTAGGGACAGGAAGCCTTCGACTGCCTTTGTTTTAAGCTGCTTTTGCATTGTACCGTTCCTGACTTTAGTCTTAGATCTGAGCTGGTTCCACTGCCTGTGATTATAAACAACAGGCTTGGCTACTTAGCATTTCTTGAATCTCCTCTGAGCGAGCACTGAGACATTCATTCACCTTCTGTTGAAGGCCCGTGCTTGTCTGTGCTCCAAGTAACATAGCTGTGGATCAGCTGACGGAGAAGATCCACCAAACTGGGCTGAAAGTTGTGCGGCTCTGCGCCAAGAGCCGCGAGGCCATCGACTCCCCGGTGTCATTCCTAGCCCTGCATAACCAGATCCGGAACATGGATAGGTGAGTCTCAGGTACCCAGCTGAGAGGCACATCTTGTCTGTGTGGCCCTGGTGCACACTCCACGCCACTGACCTGCCCCTGTGCTTCCAGCATGCCAGAGCTGCAGAAGCTGCAGCAGCTGAAGGATGAGACTGGGGAGCTGTCATCTGCTGATGAGAAGCGGTACCGAGCCCTGAAGCGCACGGCCGAAAGGGAGCTGCTCATGGTGAGGGCCTGGGCCTTAGGGACTTTGGGTGTATTACTTGCTTTTGGAAGATACTTGGATACCCTATCTTATTTGCCTTCTCTGAGATCACAGACATGATTTTTGAGTAGTTTCCACTCCCTGCTAGCTTCCCTGCTGCTGGAAGCTTGGGATCCTGATCCGAACCCTTGGGGTAGGTCTACTCTTTCGTGATAAACTAACCAAAAGTGAATTCCAACCCGTTGCCCGGCTCAGCACTGCCCCTCAGAGGCTGTCTTAAGCACCAAACCGTCTGTATTGAGAGGTTTTCTCCAGTGAAGCCTGACCACTTAGGATCTCAAAAGTTTGTGTCAGTGCAGCCTGGATAGTGGATGCTGTCAAGGAGGGACAGTTCATTTCCATGATTGTCAGGCGGGCGGGGACCAGAGCAGCATCCCGTCCTGCTCGCCCTGTGGGGCCTGGCAAACATATACTGTGCAGGTGCCCCTGATGATAACATGATCGTTTCTCCAGAATGCGGATGTCATCTGCTGTACGTGTGTGGGTGCGGGGGACCCCAGGCTTGCCAAGATGCAGTTCCGCTCCATTTTAATTGACGAGAGCACCCAAGCCACCGAGCCAGAGTGCATGGTCCCTGTGGTCCTCGGAGCCAAGCAGGTGAGCCATGTTACTTCCATGTTGGTTTTGTTTGAAAACTGGTGTGCATTCTCTCTTGTTCCACTTCTATGTAATTCTTAATGCTAGAGTTTTTCTTAAACAGGCTATGTGACGCCCCGGTAGAGCTCAGGGATGCACAGTGGGCCTTTTGTGGGGGTCTTTGAAGGGCCAGGTGCCTCACAGAGCCATCTCCATGTGGGTCTTGAGTGCACATCTTAGTGTGTTTCATATCTGTGGTGGGCAATTTTCCCATGCCTGGTCAGTATCTCAACCCTGGAACTCGTGTGGTTCTGTGGTTATGTGGACTCTGAGTGGACATCTAGGCTGCTTCGTGTTCAAGCTTCTCATGTGTGTGGGCCTCTCACAACAGCTGATCCTTGTGGGTGACCACTGCCAGCTCGGCCCCGTGGTGATGTGCAAGAAGGCGGCCAAGGCCGGGCTGTCTCAGTCGCTGTTCGAACGCCTCGTGGTGCTGGGCATCCGTCCGATCCGCTTGCAGGTCCAGTATCGGATGCACCCTGCGCTCAGCGCTTTTCCGTCCAACATCTTCTATGAGGGTTCTCTGCAGAATGGCGTCACGGCAGGTAACACTCAGAATGGGGAGGGGTACAAAACCTGCCGTCACTTCTTTCCAGAGTGGCCTTACTTAGCAACAACTTATATGTGGGGGGCGCCTCTGATAGGCGTTGTGGTCAGCAGGACAGCATGTCCACTTTAGAGTGTGGGACTACGTCTGGGTGTGGACAGAGTCACAGAGTTGCTAATTAGCATTCACCCCAGGAGCTGGTCACATGCAGCACAAGAATAGGCAGTTCTCAGAGCCCGTGCCCTGGGGTCCACAAGATGGAGGGGAAGGTTGGTGCAAGATTCCTTTTCATAGTTACAATGAGGTGGCATGTAATCTTCACTGTGCTGACACTTGCACTGATGATGCGGAGCAGTGCTGGGGGCTAATGGGGGCCTTGGTGTGAGTCTGTGTGGTACCACTAGACTGCTCTGTGTTGTCACTACCACATACTTGGCAGCAAGCAGCATCCTAAGTGCACGTCCTCTTGACACTGGCGGGTGTGAAAGGTGCTTGAAGGAAGGGCTGTTAGACACACTGGTTTTTAAGATGCAGGATATTTGGTGTGCGCATTCTTGAAAACAAAGCAAGCTTGTGGCTTCAAGGAAAACAACTAATCATATTTATCACCAGTGATAAAATCCGAGTATTCAATGGAAATTGGTATTTTAGAAAACTCGTGTTCCGTAGCATGAGCTGACTGAGTGTCCTTAATGCTGAGTAGTTTTTCTGATGAGATTGTGGTGGCATCTGTAGGGGAGTCAGTAGGTACCTTTTATCTCAGCGGCCAGCAAGGGTGTTGTAAAGTCACTCGGGTCAAAGGCTATTCCAAGTGCTAGATAGAGTAGAAAGGCCATTGTCACAGATCTGCACGGCGCCTCCCATCTGGCTTCAGTGGAGAATCAGGTGAATCCATAAAGGCTATAAAACACGTCACCAGCTCGTGGGAGACCGCATGCAGGAGCAGATCCCAGTGAACTAGATAGCGCAGCAAGTTGCACGTATTCACTAAGTTTATTCTTTAGTGGAAAATACGGTAATTTTTCATTAAAAATTTTTTTGAAGTTTTGTAATGTGTTTATTTTTTAATTAAATAATCGATATCTTAAACTTTTAGGTTTTAAAATACAGCAAACATCAGTAGGTGTAACCCATGGAAACATATTTTGACCCCTCAACTCTTCAGAGTATAAAGGGCCTTGAGTTTGTCATTAACTCCAGCAGCCATCATGTTGAGCTTGTCTAGCCCCACTTAGTAGATGAGGAGGCTGATAGCATACCTGTCCAGGGCCACACAGCTGCTGTGCAATGTGGTCTTAGGAGTTACTGCCGTGGCTGCCATCGCTGTGGCACTTAGAATGCTGCTGGTCCATCAGGACCAGCACCAGGAAAGGCCAGGCCACAAGGAGCTCATTTGTGATTCTCTGACAAGGTTGGCACTGATGAGAAAGCCACCACTTAGTGCTGGTTCAGAGACTGGTGGTGATTCATTGCTATGGCTTTAGTGCCCAACACACAGACATTACCAAATGAGTATATTTTAGTTATTTGTTGAAGTATAAAGAAGAACCCAAATTCTAAGTGTCCAGCTTAGATTTCGTAAGTGAACATACCTGTGTCATTAGCACCTGACCAGCCCCCAAGAGCTCTGTCAGGCTTTAGGGGACCCCCATCCAGGGCAGTGCTGGTGCCCACCCAGAACCACTGACAAGGGGTGTCCCGACAGCTGTGGTGGGAGTGTTTACACCACAGAAATTGGTTGGTAGACCAGCCCCTAAATGCAGCAGATGTTGATGGGCCGCCTCCTCATCAGCCTCTGTCTCGTTTGAACTATAGAGACAGACTTGACCTCATTTTCAGATTGACATGAAGGGCATTATATCATGTGTCCTTGCGTATCATGATGGGTTATCTTGGTGCAGAAATACAAGTTTTCTCACACTGATCTTCTGGTTAGATGCAGCTCCTGCAGTCTGGTATGTGATAGACGGGTTGCTCAACAGTGTCATCCACAAAAGCCAGTTGTAGGGGCTTCTGGGTCCTGTGAGGACAGCAGTAAAGATTCTAGAAGGAAACGTGAGAACATCTTGGTGACCCTGGGGCGGGGTAGGGGAGCCAAGGATTTTTAAACAGGCCATAAAGCACTGATGAGTGAGACCTGTTCAGGGAGTAAGTAGCTCTGTGTCATGTTGTGTGCATGGTTTCACACAGTCCTAGCTTTTCGGGCAGGGGACCTGCTAGCGTGGCCTCAGGCTGTGCTTTTCTTTTCTTCTCTGACTGCACGTATTGCCTCTTTTCCCTTCCTGATGACAGCGGAACGTGTAAAGAAAGGGTTTGACTTCCAGTGGCCCCAACCTGATAAGCCGATGTTCTTCTATGTGACCCAGGGCCAGGAAGAGATCGCTAGTTCGGGTACCTCCTACCTGAACAGGTAAGCAGAGGTTTGCCTGCTGTGGTGGTGGCCAGCCCAAGCTGCTGGTTAATGAGGCAAGCTGAAACTGCCCTTCTCCGTTTTGTTCAGGCTCCTCAGCCCACAACATGTTCCCACCTCCCTTGTCATCAGTTTTATGTTGAGCTAGATCCTTTCTATGTCCATGTGTGGTGAGCTTTTTTCTGTCTCATGTGACTCCCTCGGTTCAGATTGGGGCCCTGCTGTGGGCTCAGCTGCCCATGTGCCTTCCACAGCCTCAGGAGCCCACAAGTGGAGCCTGGGAACTGAACATCTGGTTTCCTTAGGACGGAGGCTGCAAACGTGGAGAAGATCACCACGAAGCTGTTAAAGGCAGGTGCCAAGCCAGACCAGATTGGCATCATCACGCCCTATGAGGGGCAGCGCTCCTACTTGGTGCAGTATATGCAGTTCAGTGGCTCCCTGCACACCAAGCTCTACCAGGTAAGCACCCCATCCCCACACAGGGCTGACCTTGACTGCCTGGCAGGGAGGGTTGCGTTTGTATCTTACTATCGGTCCCGAGTCCTATGTCTCAAGACTATTCCAGGGGTCAGAAGTGTGGGTTAATGTTTATGCACAAAGGTGTTTTTCTCAGGATAGTTTTCAGAGAAGAATTTGAAAAGGCTCCAGGGTTGACCAGTAGAGGTGTGGTTCATGCCACTGTGTAGTAAATGTTTCATAGTTACAAGAATGCTGCTCACTCTTATGTTGACACCGGAGTAAAATGTCCAAATCTGTTATGAGGGTACACAGTTATTTCTCCACATGGAAATGAACCAAAATGCAGAATAATGCTTCTGACGATGATATTTGCTTTCTGTTTTGTGAACTTGGGAACAGACTCTGATCTTCTGACAAATATATGCATTTGTTATTGGGAAACAAATTAGCAAGGTTCAAAAGACAACCAAAGTGGGATGTCAAGGAAAGGGACTGGGGACCAGCTCTGCGGAGTGAGATTCGATGGTGTATTTGGACATGCTGTATGCAACCTAGGGGTCCTTCAGGGCAGCCTGCTGGCTGGCGATGACCATGTGTCTCCTGCAGGAGGTGGAGATTGCCAGTGTGGATGCGTTCCAGGGGCGCGAGAAGGACTTCATCATCCTCTCCTGCGTGCGGGCCAATGAGCACCAAGGCATTGGGTTTTTAAACGACCCCAGACGGCTTAATGTGGCCCTAACCCGAGCGCGGTACGTGGGCTTAGTTCTGTTGGGCCTTGCAGGTAGCAGTTACTACCTTCCCGCCTCAGAGCTTTTCAGAGGGACTTTCTCTCTGGGTCTGGCTCTGAGAGGGTTCTCGCTGCCTGGTCTTCTTATTAACAGCCCTTGCATCCCAGCCACACTCTGGGCTGACGGCATGGGATGTGGGAGGGAGGCTTTGCCAATACTTGAAGTCAAAGGGCTACAGTAGCCAACTGGCTAGCTAGCTTTCTTTTCCTTCCTCCCTCCCTCCCTCCCCTTTTCTTCCCTTTTTTCTTTTCTTTCATTTTATTTTTTGGGGCAAGGCAACCCTTGGTTGACCTCACAGATTACAAGGACCTTGTCAGCTTACAATCTCTTATTTTTTCTTTTTTACACCTACAGCACCTGGTCTTCCTAGATGGTCTCCCATCCAAGTACTAACCAGGCCCGACCCTGCTTAGCTTTCGAGATCAGATGGAATCGGGCTTGTTCAGGGTAGCATGGCCATAGTACAATAGCAATTTAGAAAGAAGGGGCTCACGTGCAAATTATCTTTGTTTCTGTATCCTGGTGGTTTTCTGTGACCTTAGTCTCATGGGCAATGTCAGTTTTGGCCCTTCTGACCTGAGATTCAAACCCGGCGGGGGTGGGGGTGTTCCTTTTGAGTTGTTGAACTCACAAGTCTAATATTTTGGTTCTGTCTCCTTTTTGGCTCTGGGATGTAACTTCTCTGAAACAGTAGTAACAGCAGAAGGGACCTGCAGACCAAGGTGGCCCTCGTGCTGCCTGTGTGCTAGCCAGAAGTTGGGCTCATGTTCCTGTGTCAGTTTCTTCCCCACCCAGAGCACTTGGTTTTCATGGTGTACCCCTTTCTGTGGTGCCCTCTTGTTAGGTGGCTAACATGGAAGGCAGTGGCCTCAAAACAACTGGGCGAGAGTAAACCCCCATGGAAGCTAGGCCAGGCTTGAGCATTGAGTTACATGCCCCACCCATTAGTGTCCCTGAGGCAGCCCAGGAGGCTGACTTGGCTGCAACAGGGAGACTAGTCTTTGAGTCTGTCTACACACTAGAGCGTTTTGTCATTTGAGCTCCTAGAAATCTGCCCTCAAACCGAGCATAGTGTCAGCAGCTTGCAGGGTGGTCTCTAGTGCTAGTCACCATGGGCAGGCCAGGCATCTGGGCAGGGAGGCTAAGGGTGGCCCCCAGGGACTTTGGACTCAGGCTTTGAGTTTGTCCTCAGATTGTTCTGCATGGTGTTTGCTTGCTGTGTGGCCCTAAGCACCGTGCTCTTTGTGCCCATACCTTACAGATACGGGGTCATCATTGTGGGGAACCCCAAGGCCCTATCCAAGCAGCCACTCTGGAACCACCTGCTGAATTACTACAAGGAGCAGAAGGTGCTGGTGGAGGGGCCCCTGAACAACCTGCGAGAGAGCCTAATGCAATTCAGCAAGCCCCGGAAGCTGGTCAACACCATCAACCCTGTGAGTGCTGGCTGTGGGCGGGCATAGGACAGGGCCGGGGCCCCTTTGTCCTCAGGCCCACATTTGGGCACATGGCAGTGAGCAATGGCCAGTGTGGCTTGTGGTGAGTGTGTTTATGTCAGTATGTGAACAGGAGGAATGTTTGCTGGTGTATCCCCACACATCCTCCCACGCCAGTGTCTTGAGGCCTTTGCGGCTTGGGGCCATATGGGATGCTAAATCCTGGAGGTATCTAGGAGTTGGACACAGGCAGTTAGGAAGCCTTGTGAATCCGGGGTGCTCTGGGGGGCTGAGGCATGCAGTGCTGCTTGAGCTGAAGCCAGAGACCAAATGTTGAGCATCAAAGACCGGGTCATTTAAAAATGGGTGGGATTCCTCACCTACCCAACCCCTCTGCAGGGAGCTCGCTTCATGACCACAGCCATGTATGACGCCCGGGAGGCCATCATCCCAGGATCAGTTTATGATCGGAGCAGCCAGGGTGAGTCGCTCTGGGGGGGCCTGGGCTAGCACTGAGGATGTTGACCCTTCCCATGCCTGCACTGCCTCTGTCCACAGAAACCTGCCTGATAACGAGTTCCTTCTCAGCTTTTCTCGTCTGAGATCAAAGAGTTGTCTTTGGCAGTTTCTAAAAACAAGATTTTTTAAACAACACAGCTCAGCCTGTTTGTCCCAGTGCCCCCGCCTGCCCTTTGCTCCTCTTCTCAATGGGAATTTACACCTGCAGTTCCTTCAGGTGGACTGCAGCTTCATTTCAGGTTTCTCTTCCTTCCTGAAGCCTCAGCTTACTCTGTCAGAACTCAAAGTTGGGTGCATGCCCTCCACTCCTGTGGGGGGGTCTCTTATGTCCTAAGGCTGAGTCTGGCCCCTGCTTCCTGGAACACTTCCTGCCTGAGCCAGTTTGTAGATAGTTTCAGTTCATTGCCCAGGTCCCTGCCTGCTGGGACCCTTCCTCATCCCAGCCCCTGCAGAGGGTGACCATTAAGCCCAAGCACTCAGTGCCACCTGCCGGTGTTTTACCTTGGGCTCTGTTCCTTCGTGTACTCTCCATCCATCCTGAGGGCACATGTATTACAGCTCCTCCTCTCACACATTACGTTACTTTCCTAGACCCCATATTCTCCTAGTTACTAGGCTTAGATTGGGGATTGTGTCCTCTGCCAACAACAACAGACCTCATCGCCACATCCAGTGAGTTGCTGTGTAGCTAAGAGTATGTGAGGCAGGTCCTCCTTCCCTGAGTTCTCTCCCTGGGTGCCAACCCAAAAGGCTACACTCTGAGGCCCTGGCCTTGGGGGACTTTGTCTTCAGCAGATCCACTGGTCTATGGCGTTTAGGCGTTCTCTTGCTTTTTGTTGTGTGTGGGTGTGTGATGTGAACTTACAATTTAGCACAAAAAGGACCTTTTTATTTGAAATGGTATATGGTGGTTCTCATTTTCTCGGGTCCCAGTAGCAGTGTTTCTCAGAATCCCTGAGAGAAAAGGTGATCTCCTGGGCACCAGCCCCAGGAGATTGAAAGGGGGATTGAAGGTGAGAATCTGCCGCAGGCTGCTCTGCTGTGGGGCACCCCGAGAACTGCAGGCAGAACAGCCAGTTGGGGGCAGGCAGCAGGCTCACCTGGATGCAGTGGGGGATAAACCATCTACCTTGTCTTGCAGGTCGGCCCTCGAACATGTACTTCCAGACCCATGACCAGCTCGGCATGATCAGTGCTGGCCCCAGCCACGTGGCTGCCATGAACATTCCCATCCCCTTCAACCTGGTCATGCCACCCATGCCACCCCCGGGGTATTTTGGACAGGCTAACGGGCCAGCTGCAGGTGAGCAAGTGCCAGGCCTCAATCAGTTGCACTTGTCTGTAAGGGTCAGACCTCCTTTAAGGGACCTTGGACACTGTCTTTCAGGCCGGGGCACCCCAAAAGGCAAAACGGGTCGTGGCGGACGCCAGAAGAACCGCTTTGGGCTTCCTGGGCCCAGCCAGACAAACCTGCCCAGCAGCCAGGCCAGCCAGGATGTGGCATCACAGCCCTTCTCACAGGGTGCCCTGACGCAGGGCTATATCTCCATGAGCCAGCCCTCCCAGATGAGCCAGCCTGGCCTCTCCCAACCTGAGCTGTCCCAGGTGAGCCTGCTGCTCTGAACCCAAAACATCTCAAACCTGCAGAGAAGCTACTCCAGCCCAAGGTACCCTCCCCACATACATAGACACCCTGACACACCCGTAGAGGCTCAGGAGGAAGATGGCCTCCTCCTGCATGACCGCCTTCAGCAGTGGGACTGCGGGGTCTAGAACATCTACAACACTGTACTTCCAAACAGTTCTATGCTGCTGGTCTAGGTTACCTGTCTCCATGGTGAGGTAACTAGTGTGGGCCTCTTGCTGCTCAGGCTTGAGGACCAGGTTTCTGTATTTTTCTCTGGGTTTGGGTGGGGCTGGACACAGCAGGTTTTTGAGGCTGTGGGGACATAAGTCAGTCCCCTGACTGGCTGCTCATCTCCCTCACTGTATCTTTCAGGACAGTTACCTTGGTGATGAGTTTAAGTCCCAGATTGATGTGGCGCTGTCGCAAGACTCCACATACCAGGGAGAGCGGGCATACCAGCACGGCGGAGTGACGGGCCTGTCCCAGTACTAGAAGGCAAGCCGGCCCCAGAGGAGGGCTTCACCAGGACCTGGACTTTTGGGGAAACTCAGGAAACGTGGTGGGAGTCTCAAGTACCCGGGGGGCCAGCTCATGCTGAAACCTGTTACTTAAGGTTCCTGTACCTCTGCTCATACTTCCCTGTCTTGTCCTCTCTTGAGAGTCTAGAACTCTTGGGAAAGGCAGATGTGGGGGCCTATAGCCCCCCAAGCTGGCAGGCAGGCAGGCAAGAGGATATACCCTTTGCTCTGACTGGCACTGGGAAAGGCAGATGTGGGGGCCTATAGACCCCCAAGCTGGCAAGCAGGCAAGAGGATATACCCTTTGCTCTGACTGGCAGCTCGTGAGGGTGATGGGGGTCCCAGCCTCAGATGTGCAGGGCGCTTCTTCAAGAGATGTCTTTAGGTACCTGCGAGAGTCCTGCTGTGTAGTTCCCATCTGCCTGCCCTGAAGGTGGGGTGCTGGTGCTTAATGGGAGTAGTGGTACCACTGTTAGAGCACAGGCTCAAGCCTTAGCTCTAAGCTGCTTTCTCTCTCTGGGAAATCACTGGTCTCTGGGCTGTCCAGCACCTGAGGTCCCATTTCACAGGTGAAGACACAGGTGCAAAGGAGTCAGAGAGAAAGCCCTTTGCCTTTTAGGAGGGGCCAGACTCTGGCCTTCTCTGATGGCCTCATGCTCTCCCTCCCTCCCTACAGGTGGCAGCAGAAGAGCTAAGCTATGTGGCTTAGTCCATCAGCATCTTATTCTGGGTAATAAAAAATAAAAATAAATGGATACCTGTTTTCCACTGCTAAAACTGAAGCACCACTGTGAGCAACAGGAGAGGGAGAGGAGCACCCGAGGGAGAGCAGCCCGAGATAGCGAGCGCCCACTGCTGGCACCGCGGCGAGGAGACGAGAGGGAGAGTGGAGGTGGGGCCGGCCCGCCCGCGAGCCCTGCAGCCCGCTCGCCAACGAGGCCCAGCTCGCCGCGTCCATACCTGGGTCTACGACCAGGTGGAGGGAGGAAGACCCTCATCTCAGAGTAGCCCTTTCCTCTGTTTTTTCTTTCTTTTTCTCTTTTATTGAAAGGGGACTACGTTTTTGCAGGAATAACTTGCATTTCTGTGCTGAGCAGGCTCCTTGCAGGTGGCGACCACACCCAGAGAGCCCTGAAGAGTCTCGGGTTCTGTCCGTGCCATCTGAGACCATGCGGTCATGCTGCCTGTGTTCTAAGAGGGTTTTCATTTAAAGAAAATATGGTGTTTTGGGTTTTCTGTTTGTTTTTTTAAAGATTCTTTCAAAGGAGTACTGGAAAATACACTTTACTGAGTTTGTCTCTCAAACCTTAGTGGTGGACCTGGGAAATGCAAGAAGCTTCCAGAAATGAAGTTTAAACGAGCAACACAACGAGGTTAGGATCAACACCTGTGACGCGATCATGGAGAGGATTTTTGTTTTCAGTTTAGCTTCCAGCAGCTTCTCCCTGCGCATCAGGGCAGTGAGGAAGCGCTGCCCCGGCCGATGGGCAGCTCTATGAGCTCTGCTGGACTCCAAGAAGCAAGGTGCTTCCCACGAGCAACGGACTCAGCCCCCCGAGGGACCCCGGCAGGACTGACCATGTGGCCGGAGGGCGGGAAGGTGGCTGTTCCCTGCTGGTGTGGCTTCTCCAGGGTTCTTTGGAGGATTTGGCAGAAGACAGCAGCCAAGAGGAGCCTTTTCCAAGGAGGCGCCCACAGTCACTGTGACTGTCGGACAAGCCAAGCACCATCCCTTCCCTGCCCCATTCTCCACCCCACTCCCAAGTTTGGAGCCCTTCTACCTATGGGCTCAGCTTCAGTGAGGTGGGATGGTTTCTGCTTTTGGGGGAAAAGTTTCAGAAATAAGTTGGTTCTATGCTGAAGGTGCTTGGAGGAGCTTGTCACATCAGCTGGTATAGGGGCATTGGTGTGGGTTTGCATTGCAGAAGTTCTGGCTGGGAGAGCCCCCTACCCTTGTTCCTTGCACACCATGGGGGTGTTTGATCATCTCCCTGGTGGCCACCTAGTTGGGGACTGTCCCCTGCCAACCCAGACCCTAGTAACCTTGACCCCCCAGCGTCCCCTCCCTGTGCGCCTGATATTGGCCCTTATCCGAAAGCCTCCAGATGCCAGCTGGTACACAGGAACACACAGGCACCTTCCTTCTGGCAAGGCCTCTTATTTATCCCATTGCTGTAGGATTTTCAATCCCCTTCTTTTGGTAGGCAGCCTAGAGGCATCTGGCTTGAATAGGCTTCGGCTGTGACCCTGTGCACCCACCCACCACCCTGTTCCTTCCTTGGAGTGCTCTGCCTCACTGTGCTGTTGGCTTTGTTCACCTTCTAGCAGCAATTACTCTTGTGAGTTTTCCAAATCAAAGAGCATCTGTACCAAGGCAGTGTCACTTCTGATTTTTGGTCAATTTGTTTTAAGCTCTTTTGTCACCAATAAAATCTTAAACAACTCTTGCATTCACGGGGCTGGATAAACTACAAGGGATGGGAGAGCACTTGGTCTGGGGGCCTGGCTGGTTGGGTGACTCTGCCACCTCTAATGCTGAGGAGGTTTGGACCTGCACAGCAGGGACTCTGAAAGGAAGCACCTGGTTACCTCGTGATCAGCCCCTGGGCCTATGGGGGTGGGGGGTGCAGCTCCCAGCATCCCCTTATATGATGGGCTGCTTGGAGATGGGGCTCTAAGGGCAGGTGGCCTCAGTGTAGGACCGCCCCTTCCCCCACCACCCTGGTGTCCATCGGAGGGATGCAGCAGTTTCCTACCCCAGCCCCGGGTGACAAGACAAAGATGAATATCTGGGACCACGTAGTATTTATTGTTGGGGCCCCACTTGTTCCGTCAGCGGCAGCCACATTCGTCCACCACCATGTCCTCATAGTGCCGCAGGACCACGTTGTCGCTGTTGTCAAAAAAGAGCACTGAGATAGGCGACAGGCGCGCGGGCACACAGCAGGGGAGGCCGGTAGCGCTGGGAACGGCCGAGTGCATGAGCGCGCGCAGCACGGCATGGTTGAGCGCAGGCGGCCCGCCGGGCCCGGGCAGTGTGGCGGGCAGCGAGCACTGACCCTGGCAGTAGTTGGCCAGGAAGCCACGCGGCGCGATGACCCAGCGGTGCCAACCCACCTCGCGGAAACTCACGTAGAGTCGCCGCGCGCGACACGCGCCCCCGAGGCCGCGGCCCACCGCGGGCTCGGCATCGCGCCGCGGCCGGGTCAGGGGGTGGCACAGGCGCGAGTCGAGGGTCACCAGCAACAGGGAGGCCTCGATCAGGCTCGCGCAGGCGCCAAAGGCCCGGGGGCGCAGGGCCAGAACCAGACGGAGGCTGCGCGGCGCCGAGGCGTTGCGGGCCCAGGCGGCGCCCAGCAGCTCGACGCGCACTGGTGTCCCCAGAGTGGCCACCGCCTGGCGGAGCAGCACCGACCCCGCGCCCTCGCCTTCGGCCTCTCGTCCCACGCTCAGCTCCCAGCCGCCCGCCGCCCCCGCCGTCGCTTCTGCCTCCGCGAAACGCATCTCCAGGCGGGCATGGCTCGGGAGCTCGTCGGGTTCCACCGCTGACAGGTCGAAGACTACGGTCCACTCTGTGCACTGCCCCGTGGGAGAAGTGGGCCCCAGGGTCCGGGCGCGCGCACCTGAAGAGGCAGAGAGCGGGCTCGGCTCGCGCTGCGTACCCTTGCGGTGCCGGCCTGCGCGCCAGGGGATCTCGGTTGGGGACAGGGTGGAAGGTGAGGGCCTGAGGCTGAGGGCGCACCATCTGTTAACAGGGCGTCAAATGGTGTGAAGGAGGGGGATGGATAGAGTGGGGGCGCGGCATCGCTTGCAAGGAAGAGACATGCCCAGTGCAGGGTGGCCTGCCCGTGTTGGAAACACACAGATAGGGAAGAGATGCTGGGGCTGGGTGGCATCCGCAGGAAGGCTTCAAATGGTGGGAAGCAGCAGGGATTTGGGGGAGTGGGGGCAGGGCTTCAGCTGCAATCAAGAGTCCTTGCCCAGTGCAAGGCAGCCTGGCCTTGTGGCCACTATCCCCTGTTCCCGCAGGTGTCCACGGGAGGAGCAGATGAAGTACAGGGACCCAGATTTCTCGTGGGGTTGGGTGCGTACCCTCTCAGCAGCTGGAGGCTCGTGGCGGGCTGGGACGCCCAGGAGGGTCTCGGACACCCAGACCCACACCCCCAGCGCAGGCCCCACTTACCGCGGTCCAGGATGTGGCGCACGATGTTCCCGGCGACTCCCAGCTCCTCCACGTGGCACGGTCGCTGGATGGCCCCCGGGGATGTCCGTCGCGGGCTCGTCCTGGCCTCCTGCGGGTCCCGGCGGCGGAAGAGGCGCCACATGACAGGCGGTACGGGCCGGGACTTTGGTGCGCCTTGGGGCGTGTCGCGTAGCCCCAGGGCCTGGAGCAGAGCGGCGGCAGCGCCTGGGGCCGCAGGGGCGCGGGCCGGGAGCGGCGAGGGCAGCAGCAGGGCCAGGAGAAGAAGGACATGGTGGTCTGGACGGCGAAGTGACGGTGGCATGTTCCTCGCAGGCGGCAGCCGGACGAGTGCTCGGGGGTTTGTGGCTGGGCGGGGTCAGGGCATGAGGGGTGTGGCCAAGGCCCTGAAGCAGGACCGGGACCGACCCGGGGGCGGGGTCCGGGGAGAGGGGTCGGGGTCCTGGGAGTGGCCAAGGCCCGGGAGGGACAAAACTGGTCGGGGCCAGGGTCGGAGGGAGGGGCAAAACCTTCCTTGGGTGCGAAGTGGGGCGGGGCTGGGTCTTGGGAGACAAGGTGGGTGTCGAAGGGTTCAGAAGCGTTTGTCTTTCACTAGGCCGTTCCTCAGTGGCTTCCTGGGGGCCAGAACCGGGCCCGCGTTAGCCTGTGGACACGCGACCCCGCGTATCCCCATGTCCTGCCCGCCTTGCCCTCCACGTTCCTTTTCCCAGCCTCTCTCCTTGTTCAGTTCTTCCCCACAATTAAACTTTCCTCTGCCCTACCCCCTTCCTTCCCACCCTGAACCGCCGCGACTGCTGGAGAGCAAATACCACCCACCCACCTCTGCCTAGCCCTACTGCTTCAACCTGGATCAACCCTGCATTTTATCTTCCTCTGGTCCCGGGGAGGCAGAACTGGCCAGAGGCCCCTGCAACCAGCCTTGGCAGGCTTGTGGGCTCCAGCAGCCCTGGCTAGCTCACAGCTGCACCCGTCCAAGCTTCCCTGCCCCTTCATTCTCCATCCACTGTCTACACCACTGCGGCCCCGACCTTCCTTCCATGATTTTTAAAAAACACAATATTTTACAACTAATCAACATGCTAAGTGTTCAGCTTAAGATCCGAGAAAGGCCCCTGGCGTCTAAATATGTATGGTTTGCATATTTAAAACTTCTATAAGGATGTCTTCAATTTTCCAAAAACATGACACTTTGAGATCTCTCCCATGCACACTGCTGTCCTCCACAGATTCCATTTTCCTTTCAAGTCTCTGGGGTTCTGATGGGGAGGAGACCTGTGCTCCAGGGGTCTGCCCAGGCCCACCTGGCTGGACCTGATGGGTTTCTGCCCCCATACCTCGTCTCCTATGCCAAAGCTCAATTGCATCCTGTTTAACCAACCGGCTGGTGCCCAGATGGCATCTCACTGCAGCCTAATGTCAATGGCCATTGGCCATCCTTGTTCCCACTTATGGGAATCCTTTGCCTTTGCACACTGTCTACTAGTCTGTGTAGAAGTGGGTTCTACAGTCTAGTTTACACACAAATGTTTTAAGTTTTTTGAGCCAATAATATGTTCTCATGACCTAGATATCAGAAAGCATAGAAAACCCACAGTCGACCAGAGCCACTCCTGGGATGTAGCCTCACTCACAGATACTAGCAGACACCCTTTCACATAAAAACATAGACTTTTCTGGAGAAAATGGTCTCAGTCACTTTATTCAGTCCTTTCCTTGGGCTGGAGCCTGCTGGTTGTACCTTCCCCGGGGGCACACATCCCACCCTCCGTGCTTTTCCATTGGGTCACTGATTTCTCACTGCTGCCAGCAGGAGCCCTTTATCTGTGAGGTTATAGATAAGCTCTGTGGGGACCTCCATGTGTCCTTTGTCTTCTGGCTTTGCCTGTCAGTCCTTTAGACCAGCAGTCCCCAACTTTTCTGCCACCAGGGACCGGTGCTCCTATGAGAATCTAATGCCTGATGATCTGAGGTGGAGCTGAGGCGGTGACGCTAGCGCTGGGGAGCAGCTGCAAAACAGATGAAGCTTCACTCGCTCACCAGCTGCTGTGCAACCCGGTTCCTAACAGATTGGTAAAGGTCCACGGCCAGGGGTTTGGGGATTCCTGCTTTAGACAAAGCAGAGGAAGGTTCCTAGCTTCTCACTGTTTTAATATATAGTTCAATTACTAGACAACATGATGTCCGATTTTGGCTCTCACTGGAGTTCCTGGCTTCTACTTCTGTGTCGACAACTTTGATCTCTTGGAGGCTGCCCTGGGGGCTGATGCAAGATCATCTCCAGATGGTCACCAAGTGTCCCACCATATACAACAGTCCTTCCTCCCTTCCTAGTGACCTTTATTACTTGCTCAAGTGTGATGGACTCAGCTCTGTTCCCACATAGTTTTAATTCTTGTATTTTTCTAGTAATTTTAATGCCTTCAGGGATCGGTACCCCCGCCCCCTGCCACATGCCTTTGTCAGA